GCAGCTAGACAGGTAGTACTTCACCAGAATCATGTGTACTCTACTTGTCGTTCTCCGAGGCAAGTTTGTTTCGTATGTCAGATTGGTATCGAGCTCACTGATGCGCGTAACGCTGTCTACTCTAGAGCAACGTCATCGTTTGAGCAGCCAGCGGCGATCAGATGGTCGGAACTGAATTTCCCTCCATGTCTTAATCTGGTGCATTTTGATCTTACGGAATTACCGAGGAATGTGAGTGAAAGCGATGTTCTAAGAACTGCTTCGAGAGATGTGTGACCCTTCAGGCCGCCGCAGCCCTACGACCCACCTTGTGGGCATTCGTCGCTATTATCGCGTTATTGATCATCAACTTCATCAACTCGATCATCATAGTGGCCGTCAAGGAGCCCCACGCTGATGGTGTAAATCAAATCACTCCTTCTATGTACTGAATATGAATACTACCAGGTTCGCATTCTGTACTCCTTCCTCAACCTCGTGCTCATATCCTCTATTGCATGCTACTCGGTGTATCAGGTAAAGTTCTGTGATATGGTATTAATCGCGCCAGGTCTAATCGACACTATCGACCGTAGTAATGACTATCGATCGACGTTGTGACAGAATACATACGGAGATATGCAAGCCATACCGCCAATTAACTGCCGGAATCATCCGTTATTATGCAATAACAGCGAACGATGGCCATTCACACTACGTGTCGATTATCGCCATATCACAAGCTCCTCCCCTCATCGCTGTGTTGTTTCTGTCGCTTCAGGCCTATAAGGGTTTAGCATTGAGCTCAATTTTCCACATAGCGCGGTTCGCTACAATACACGGATGCCTTACGGTGGGTCTCTTATTCGTTTTATTATTTTGTATGCAGTTTTAGGCTCTGTTGGGTTCAATTGTGCTGCTGCCTTGCTCGAGTTTCAACGGCTTCTTGATACCTGTACGCTACAACGACAATAAGATGTAGCCCGGCAGGCTCACCTGTGGACCTAATCTGTATCTTGCCTCAGAGGCACGTATTGGATCTTCGCAGTTGTATTCGAGAGCCTAGCTTGGCTAATGACTACGTGCATTTCGGCATATGGCATTCACAAGGTAGATACGAGCTCGCGTATGGGCCACAATATTCTCTTCAGGTGCGGACTTATCTTTGACGGGTGTAAATTGGATATGTTGCATGTTCGCTAATGCTCCATAATCGTTGGTAACTACTATGCTGTTATCTTGCGTTATTGAGATAGTGAAATGCATTGGAACGATGGGGTTTGACAGAGATCAGTTTGTAAAGTATTTGATAAGCAGTCCATAGGGATGCATTGGAGTCATCGGTCGCGTATAGGATATATCATCGATGATCCTGAGAGCATTCGCACTGGCCGTAAGACGCAACTTGGGAGAGATATTTTTGATGAAAAATGCCATGGATGCGGTGTGCTACCCGGACAGTGAACTCACATTAGCATCACTATATATACATACAAATGCACCCACCACTGAACGCAATAAGGAGAACACTGAAAGTTTCAGTTCGAAACGATGACGAATGTGAATAACACAAAA